GGGGGGTCAGGGCCTCCAGACTCGGGCCAGCCTGCGCACCCCAGTTTGGGAGGCAGGCTCCAGGCCTCAGCCGGCTCCACCCAGGAGCGACATGGGGGAGGGGCGGGTGCCGGCGCGGACCCCACCGAAGGATGCCTCCCCCGCCGCACCGGGCGCTGGAAGCGAGCACAGGGGGCGACGCTGGCCAGTCCGGCCCCCTCGAGGTCCGCGCCCAGGGGCCCCCACTCCCCCAGCCCACCGCGCGGTCCAGGGCCCGCGCATCAAACTCCCGCTGCCGCGCAGACAGGGGCCTGGGTGCCTCCCGCTGCCACGGTCCGTTCGGGCGGGGCACTGACCCTCGGCCCTGGCTGCCTTGGGACTCCGGGTCCTCGCCCCCCTCCTCCATGCTGGCCGCTTTCTTTAGTTTGCTGCTCTTTTTCTGTGTGGAAGGACAGCGGAGTGAGGCCCCGTGGGGCCCCCCCAGTGACCCAGAGGCGTCGGCCGGTGTGCCTGGTTGGGGGGGTTGGCCATCGCGGCACCTGCTGCGTCCAGCCCCAGCCAGGTGCTGAGGCCGGCTCTGAACCCCAGCCCCAGTGGGACGATGGAGCTACGGGGGGTTCTGGAAGACAGGTCAGGGGTCCCGGGAGCTGAAGGGGGCTCCCCGGCTGGCCGGCCCAGGGACCCCCGGGGGGCACAGGAACGGGGAGCCGGCCACCCCTGCCCGGGAGCCCCGCCAGACCTTGCGCTTGGAGAAGCTGCTCATGAGGGTCCGGTTGTTCCGTCTGCTGCCACCGGTGTCCTCCCCGGACTCCACGCCGTCCTCAGCCTAGGGGACGGAGAGACAGCGGTGAAGGGGGGCGCCCAGGCTCAGGGCCCCAGGCTCCGAGGCTCCGGGCACCTTTCCCCAGCCCGCCCCGGGGGCGCAGAGGCAGGGGTCTGAGAGGGAGTGTGGAGGCCCCACGGGCTCCTCCAGAAGTGTTTTGAACTCATTAAGGCCCCAGTTCTGAATTCTTTTCCCGTGGAGGGCGAGTGTACGGTAAGTGCTGTTTGTGTGTCTGGAACATTCCTCAGCCGAGCATGCTTATGTAAGGCTTTTATGAAGAGCCCTGCAGCTCCGACGTCCTGTCCTGCTTCTTGCAGAGACCAAAGTATTACCTAATTAGACAGATGCGGTCTGTGCCCCCGAAGCGGCCGTTTCACATCACCCTCGGGGCTTCTGGGAGCTTCCCCACCGTTGTCTATGGAGCACCTTCCCTGCTCCCCCCCAGCCCCACCCCCCAGACCCGGTCCCGTACGTGCGTCTGCACACACGCAACTCCCCGCCAACCGTGCCCCGGCCTGGACCGCCGGCCTCTCGGCCAGGAGGCAAGTAAGGCCCCTGGTCAGGAGCTCAAGCTGGGCCCCACTGGGCCCGAGGGGGGAGGACACGAGGGTCAGCTCCACCCCAGGGGCACAGGGGGACGGGACCTCATGCCGCAGAGAGCCCACTGTGGCGCCCGCGCCCTCGGCCCCCCACCTGAGCGCCGTGCACCGTGGCTCACGCGCCGGGAAAGGAGCGTGCGGCCCGAGACGCTGCCCGCAGCCGCCCCCGAGCTCCAGCCCCCCGCCCTGCCCCTGCCCACTCCTGCTCTGTGGGGAAGCCCGGGCCCGTGGGGAGTCGGGACAGGCGCCTCTCCGGCTCCCGGCTCCCACCCGCGTCTGCCCTCCTCGTGCCCCCACACCCCCGGTAGGGGGCGGCACGGGAGGCGCTCATGCGGACCCCGGGGCACAGACCCGCCACAGCAGAGGCCCTGGGCATCAGCCCCGCCCCAGACTGCACTTACAAGTCTCTCCCTCCCCTGGCCTGGCAACACCAGCCCCTCTCCCTCCTGACTTGTGACGGCTCCGCGGCCCGCGGGCAGAGGCACCTGCGGCCGGGCGCCGGCGTTGGCAGACACTTGAGGCCGACGCGCTTCACGCTCTGTAAACACGGCCTGAAACGCCGCGCACACGCGCCTCTGAAGCTGCGCACAACCGGGGAGGGGCGCCTGTTGGCCCAGCATCCGGAGAAGCGGCCGCTGCCTCGGCCAGAACCTGCTGTCGCCACCCCACTCCCATACGCGGCACCCCCGCACCCGCGCCCCTGTACCTCTGCGCACCGCACCCCTGCACACCCACACACCCGCACCCCTGCACCCGCACGCCCTGTGCCCCTACGCACCGCACCCCTGCACACCCACACCCCGCACCCCCGCACCCGCACACCCTGTACCTCTGCGCACCACGCCCCTGCACACCCACACCTCCGCACCCCCACACCCGCACATCCTGTACCTCTGCGCACCGCACCCC